AGTTTTGTAATTAGTTGACTCAGTTTTGTTTGAGCGCGCGTCAAAGATGGATACTAGCAAAGAGAAAATATGCTATATTTTACAGTTTTTCTTCGATAAAGGCGAAAACGCAAGCCAGGTGGCTGAAAATGTGAATAGTGTTTATGGTCCTGATACTGTAACAGCCAATCACGCGCAATTTTGGTTTCGTCGATTCCGTTCCGGTAATTTCGATGTCAAAGATGCACCACGCACTAGAAGGCCAATTGTCGAAAACATCGATAAAATCATGGACATTGTCGAGTCCGACTGTCATGTAAGCACTGTTTCGATTGCCCAGGAGCTAAAGATTGCACAAAAAACCGTATGGAACCATTTGAATAAGGCTGGATACAAAAAGAAACTCGATGTATGGGTGCCACACGAGTTAACGAAAAAAAACCTCATGGGCCGAATTTCCATCTGCGAATCGCTGCTGAATCGCAACAAAATCGACCCATTTCTGAAGCGGTTGGTCACTGGTGATGAAAAGTGGATCACTTACGACAACGTCAAGCGAAAACGGTCGTGGTCGAATCGCGGTGAGCCGGCGGAAGCTTGGCGGTGGCCAAACCATTGACGGCTAGGCAGGCCATTTTGCTGTGTGTTTGGTGGGATTGGCAGGGAATTATCTACTATGAGCTGCTCCCCTACGGCAAAACTCTTAACTCGGAACTGTACTGTCAACAATTGGACCGTCTGAAGGAAGCAATCGCCCAGAAGCGGCCAGCTTTGGCCAATAGGAGAGGAATTGTGTTCCATCAGGACCACGCCAGGTCACACACATCGATAGTGACTCGCCAGAAGCTCCGGGAGCTTGGTTGGGAGGTTCTTATGCATCCACCTCATAGTCCGGACCTGGCACCAAGTGATTACCATCTGTTCCTGTCCATGGCGAACAATTTTGCTGGTGAAAAATTCGCTTCAAGAGAAGCTTGTGAAAATCGACTGTCTCAATTTTTTGCCAATAGGGACGAGGGCTTCTATGAGAGAGGCATAATGAAATTACCTTCAAAATGGCAACAAGTTATCGAACAAAACGGCGCATATTTGATCTAAATCGGATCATTCTAACTATGGTAATTAAAGCCTTCAATTTCATGCAAAAATAATAGATTTCTTTTTACTACACCTGATATTTTCCGCGATTTCTTTATCTTTGAATCTGTCCAGTCTAAAATTCGTTCTATGTTCTCATGAATGCTATTTATGCTCTGTATGTTTTTGTTCCGGTAGTCTTCCAGCCAATCCTTCAATTTTTTAACATTCTCATCTACATACTGCTTCGTCTCAACGTTACTCTCATGCAGTAGAAGCTTTACAGAATTTATATTCTCATCTATATACTGCTTCGTCGCAACGTTACTCTCATGCGGTAGAAGTTTTATAGACTTTATACTTTCATCCATATAATTTTTGTGCGCAACCTCATTGAATACTTTCGGCCACGGTACATGATGTATCGCGTGCAGTGTTGCGTCAAAACCTTTATCATCGGCGATTAGACAAAGGGCATTTTCTTGTACGTGTCGTTTGGTTGCAACGTTGTTCAAATGATTTCTCACATCTGCAACACTTTCTTCCACGTATCGTTTGGTTGCAACGTCACTCTCGGCTACAGGTTGTGCTACATGTTTTATCTTGCGCGACTTTGCATCAAAAACTTTGGCAGCATTTAAACAAAAGGCATTTTTATGTATTTAATTTTTAACGTGTTCATTCCATTGATGCGCTCGATCAGTTTTCACATCATTGCTCTCTCGCGACACTCCATACTTATTCATCGACATTTCGGAGCAAATTGTACCGACTGACAGACTCGCGTCAATGCCACACTGATTAATTTATAATGAGAGACCAGCTTCGCGGAGTTCTTCGATAATCGATAATATTTCGTGATTGTGCGAGTTGTTGCCAGCTTGGCGCGAAGCGTCAAGCAATCGTAAACGATCCACCAGCTCGTTGGGATCATCCCAATGCACGTAATCGATATTGCTGTCAGTTAAGGTCATCATAGCTAGCGTATAAACTTTTTTCTCCCATTTTATTGCTCATGTGATACTAGAGGCGCGATCATATGTTTATATTTCTGTCCCTTGTTACCGAGTATAGGATTTTGCGGGAGGTACCCGTGTCTATGAGTATTAATTGCTAATAGTATACTTTTGTATTTTTGCATATTAGCTTCGGTGTACACAGAATCGTCGGAGATTCTTTTGAATATTAGCTCGTAAAGACCGGGTGTTCCAATGTATCCTATTTCGTCTATGATTATATTATCGTCTCTGTCCACATCGATATGTTTATTACCAAGCATCGCTCCATCGTTACTAAGATGTACGCCGTAAACATAATCTATGGTGTTATCTTTTCCACTACTTAGCACAACTCCCATATATGTTATTTTTGATCTAACGGACCAAAATGATCATGTAAAGTTTGTTGTCCTTTGTACGTTCGCAACTGACGTCTAACGGATGTCACTACCGGTTCATCAGGGATTTCGAAAATATTCTCATCATCATCATCATCAATGGGTAGATTGTCGATCGGTGAAGGTTCATGTGACATTCCATGTAGTTCCTCATATTGTAGAGCTCCTGTCGATATAGGAACTATCAGAGGTTTAATAGTTTCCGTTTCGGTGTAATCAATGCGACTGGTGAAAATTTTGCCTTAGGCTTTATCTTTTTTTCGGGTTTTAATATTATACTCTTTGTTTCTTCGCTTGTACTCATTGATAGTGGCTCAGTTTTAACATTAACATTACTTTCCACATTAGCGCTGCTTCCCGCGATTTGCTTGAGAGGTTCAATAATAGGTTTAAAGTGTCTCTCCAATGCAGCATTTTCCACCATTCTACCGGTTTTCAAAGCGCGATACTTCTTGCGGATCGATTCACTCGTTTTCGCAATCTCTTCCGCTATCTTTTCACGATCCATGGTCCTCACACTACTATTCATCATTGATATGTTTGTCTCGTGGACGCTGAACATGTTACCACGTTGAGGTTACAATGACGACTGTGTATCTCAGCACAGCAAAGTCGTTAAATCCTTTACTGTATCGTCCGTTGGTTATTGAGCTGTCCTTATTAATCACTGTGAAACCATATTTATCCTCCCAACATTTGCAACACAATGCACTGGAATCCTCATATGACACGTCAGTGTTCACATGATCGTTATACACGTGTTTCAAGTTGGTACTATCCTGTTTAAAGAGAATCAGAAGATTTGCATTGTCCCGTATAAGATGCTTGAATATTTTTACGTACGTCTGACAGAGATAGGAACAGTCAACGTTCGAATGACGACCCATTGCAAAGTATTCTCTTATTGTATCTTGTTTGTCATATGCCACATCATCAAAGACAAAAATGGAATTTTTGAGCGCTTCGGTCGTTGGAATCATATCGCTGTTATTGAAGAATGTAAAGTATCCAATTTCATCTATAGGTGTCAGCAGATTTTCCAAGTAGCGATATTTAGATTGTTGCAACGATTTCGAGTACACGTACAAGTTCTCGAAACATAGACGTGCGGACTTTCTAACAAGCAGAACGTTCGTCTTGTCGCAATTCGAGGGACCGCATATGATGCCGTGTGTGGTGTTCGGAAGCATGTTTCCGTGCCTGCGCGCCTCTTGCTCAATCATTGATTGCGTTCTATTGTCGAAATTTGTCACGCATATCGACGTCGGTTGCTTCACGAACCGCATGTTTCCCGTGAATAACAAAATTGATTTTGCTGACGGATCGTTGAGATTTAATTTAAATGCGACGTTGATTTAACTATATATAAACGCGTCGATCTTGGAAACATCCAGTTTAGAAAATGTTGCTCCTGCTGACAGATACTCATGATATTCGAGAGCCTCCTCGATGTGGTGCAACCTTGTCGTGGTGAGGAGGTACAGGCGATTCGTAGATCCATCGGGGTAGTACCTCTGGTCCAACCGGAGAGAGGGCCGGATGGGGAGGATCGCTTGCCAAGAGCTCCTCGGGTTCAGAGAAGGGTGGGTTTCGGGTGGGAGGGATAGGGTAGGGAAGGGGGTGGACGTTAGGGGCCAGAGTGTTTCGGCATCCTGCTACGGGGAATCCAGGCGAACCCCGGCGTATCTTTTTTTTCGATAACGCAGGGGAAACCCATCATGGGTACCGCCCGCCCCCTAGGAGGGGCAGGGGATTATGTGAGACTCTTACTCACTAAAACCCCTGCGGGATGTCTACCAGTCGGACCGAGATGGGGGGAGTCAGGGGAACTGCGCCAGCATCCCTCCCCGACATCCCGGCCCCAGGGCTCAAGAGAGCCCCACGCCCAAGTGCTGCGCCCCAAGCCCTTCTCCATGAGGAGAAGGTCAGGGCGCGGCGCCCCGATCGGTTGACCGATCAGGTTGGCCTTCAGGTTCAACTTCCGGGAGAGAGGGGACATGCGTACCCTCCTTCCCGCCCCCTCCCTAGAGTGGTTTCCCACTCCGGAGGGGGCGGAGTGAGACCATTTCCCCACTCCCCCCTTTCTTCCCTCTACCGACGTATGGGGGAGGGCGGGCGGGTTTTCACACCCCTCCCGACGCCCCTCCCCCGCGCGTCCGAAGTCGACCGCGAGTCCGAGGCGGCCGAGGGGGCGACCTCCGGTTAACCGCAGGTCGCTCCTCCTCGGCCGGCGCCACCTCGGGCCCGCTACCTACTCCCGGGGAGCGTCTCCTTCTTCTCCGCCGCACCCTGCGACGGGGGTTGGTACGACGCTCACACTCGGCGGCCTCCTTCTGGGACATGACGTCTCTGCAGAAGGAGCCCGCCGCCCCCATGTCTCCTCGCTCCCGCACATGGCTTGGACCATGCGCGAGAGCGAGAGGTCCTCCACCAGGCATCCCACCGCCCGGGCCAGGACTCGGCGCTGCTGACTCCGCGCATCGCATTCCACGAACGTGTGCCGCGTCGAGTCCACCACCGGCCTCCGGGCAGTGGTGGCACCCGGTGGTTAGGTTACGGTAGGTATGGTTAAGTAGGGTTCCTTCCCTATTAGGTGCAGGTACCTTCCGAAGCAACCATGCCCCGTTAGTACCACCAAGTGGAAGGACAGTTCACGCCCCCGCATGCCCACAATCTCTGGTAGGCAGGGGCAGACAACCTCGGCCGTCTGGCGCCCGAATCCTCGCGGATATGCCAACTCGGCAGACCACTTGTCGAAGACCCGGACACGGGTTTGGGCCTCCAGGGCCTCCAAATCTCTGGCCGTTAGTCCCCCCTCCCTTTCGCGGAGCTTCTTGGTAAACCAATAGAGGAGGTATCTTTCCTCGGCGAAGAGCTCCACTGGGGGGAGCCGGCCAGGGTGTCGCCGCTATATACGAAACGGTGCCGTACCCCCGAATCGTCCTCACTAGCACCGGGTGCGCCCAAATAGGTGCCCCGTACAGGGCGATCGAGAGCACGACACCCGTGTACAGGCGGCGAGCCCGCCATCCCGGGCCCACCTGGGTCCGCATCAGGCCGACCAAGGCCATGCCTGCTTTGCGGACCCGAGGGGCCAGGTGCCTGAAATGTGGCCCGAATCCCCATTGGCTGTCCAACGTCAAGCCCAGATATTTCATTGTAAGCTTAACGCGGACGCGGACACCATTCACCAGGATCCGGGCTCGCCGCACCCCCCCTCGACCCCGACCATGAAACAACATGGCCTGGGTCTTCTGGGGTGCCACTTTGAGCCCGAGGTCGCTGATAGTGCCCACCACCGAGTGTAGAGCCGCCTCCACTCGGAGTCGAGCCTCCCCTCAGCTCTCTCCCTCGGCCAGCACCAACGTATCGTCTGCGTAACAGACCACGTGGTAGCCGTGGGGGAGAGGAGAACGCAACACCCGGTCGAACGCGATGTTCCATAGCAGGGGGCCCAAAACGGACCCTTGCGGAATACCGCGTTCCATTTGCCGCCGGTCTTGGACCCCGCCTCTCCCAGAGTAGGCGAGGTCCCTGTCCCTGAAGTACGCCGCCAGAATGCGGAGATAGACGGGCACCCCGTGGTATTCCAGGGCCCGTCCAATCTCCGGCCAGGGCAGGGTGTTAAACGCGTTGGTGATATCCAACGACACCGCGAGTAACACCCCGCCCTCCTCCTCCACGGCGGTACAGGTCAGGTCCTGGATGTGCTGGATCGCGTCCAGCGTGGACCGTCCGGGCCTGAACCCGTACTGGTTGCCGTGAAGATCTGGCCCCTCCAGGGTCAGATGTTGGACGAGGCGGTCAGCGATGATGCGTCCCAACATCTTGCCCGCCTCGTCCAGCAGGCTGGCCTATAGGCCAGCGACCCACCGGGCGTCTTGTTCTCCTTCGGAAGGAGGACCAATTTGGCCCTCCTCCACTACAGGTGGAAGACTCCTTCCCTGAGGCATCCTTCCATCACCTCCCGCGTGGCTGCGGATAGGCTTCCATCGCCGAGGGCGAAAGCCCAGGCGCGGCCAGGAATCCCGTCAGGGCCAGGGGCTTTGCCCTTGGCCCCGAACTTCTTCCTGGCCCTGGCAAACTCCTCTGGCGAGACCCCCAGGTCCTCATCCCAGTCCCCTTCCTGAATCTCAGGAACGGGGATCTCTCTCCGCCCTCGGGAAGAGGATGTCGAGGAGCCCCCTGAGGTCCTGGGGATCCATGGACTCCGTCGGCGGGGGCGGCCACGGGCGTATCTTGCCGACAGCCCGCTTGTACGGGCGTCTCCACGGATCCTCGTCCAGGGAACTCACTACGCGCTCCCAGACTCCCTCTTTTGCCTCGGCGATAGCGGCTTTGAGGGCTTCCCTCGCTTGGAGGTAGCCCTCTTTCATCCCCGCGACATTCCCGCCGTCGCGCCGGGCCCGGGTGTATACCCTCCTGGCTTGGACGCAGGAGTCGCGGATATTCGCGTGCTCCGACGTCCACCAGTACGCAGCCCAGCGCCGGCGGGGGTGGAACCGGGGCATCGCAGCGTCGCATGCCGACGCCACGATGCCCACCACCTCCCTAACCCCTTCAAGAGGGGGGCTGGGGTCTCACTCACCTGGCCTCTGATCGAGATGGCCACAAGGACGGTCGCCTGAAACCTATCCGCGTCAAGCCGACCGAGGGCCAATTTTTGGGGGAGGGGAAAGTCCCCCTGCCCTGGATGGCGGTCCAGCACCCCGTGAGGTGTAGGGTGTCGGAGAGACCACGTCACATATCGGTGATCCGATAGTGACTCAATCTCCTTCTCCACCACCCACTCCCGGAATTCCCGGGCAGCCGAGGGGGAGGCCCACGTTAAGTCTATGACCGACTTGCCCCCCCGGCCGCACGCAGGTGCTGGTGGATCCCGTGTTCATCAACACGAGGCCCAATCTCCCCACCCAGTCAGCCACGGCCTTGCCCCGAGGGTTCCTCTGCCGGGGACTGCAACCCCACTCGTCCGAGTGGGCGTTAAAGTCCCCGGCAACAACTACGGGTCGGGGATGGCACCACCGTACTACGTCCCCGACCCTGTCCAGGACCCTCATAATGCGGGCAAGCTCACCGCGGCCCTCTTTATTCCTGCGGTGGGGGAGATAAACCCCCACCACAGTGACGGATCCACAGTCAGTTGCCACATACGAGCTTCCCCTCTTCCTGATTTTACAGAGGGGGGAGCCCGCTGCGGGATTGGCCACCACAGCCACCAAGCCGCACTTGCTACCCAGTTAGTTGGGGTTACCGGCCGGGATGAAGTACGGCTCGGTGGCTACCCCCAGCCCGGCACCCAGTTCCACAAGCCTGTGCACCTACAGGTCTTGGGCCCGGACGCCGTGGCCGAGGTTGGCTTGGGAGACCTGGAGTAGCGTAAAGACGATGCCGTTCACGCCTCTTTCGGGCGTTCCATCTCTGATCCCTCAGGGGAGACATTAGGCGGCGGTGACGACGCTCCTGTCTCCCCGGGGGGATCATCCGTCATGGTGGCCGTCAGGTGCCTCCGTGGAGGTCTGCAACTCGGGTTCCTCTACATAGGAGGTCCCTACCTGCGTTAACCCCTCCTCTCGGGAGTATGAGGGATGGTCGCCAATCAGGGGAGCCGGGGATGGCGCGTCCCCGACTCCCCCTCTTCAATTGTTGAGAGTGGGGTCTCCACAACCTCCACCCTCCTCACCTTTTCCTTTGTCACCTTCGGAGGGACGACTCCTCTTCTCCCGTTGCCGTCCTCTCCTCCGGTGCAGTTACTGGGGTCGCCGCCTCCAGAGCTCCCCTCTTCTTTTTCTCCCGTTGGGGCATACCTCCTTCGGAATCTCCATCGGTGCGGTGGGGTCCAGGACGCAGCTGTGTACTGCCTCCACCGCCATCTGGATCTCCTCCCCCGTGGGATGGGAGGCCAGCTCGATCGCCTCTCTGTCTCCTACTTCCACAGTCAATGAGGAAGCCAGTCCGGCCTGCCCTTTGTCCTCCGCAAGTGGGGGGAAGATCTCGATGTCTCCCCATTCGGGTTGGGTTCTGCCTATTTCCTCTTGCTTGCCTCCCTCCTCCTTCTCTCCCGGCCCGTGAAAGGTTTACAGGCAGGTCCACCGATTTTGTGGTCGGCTTTCTTGCCTGCGTCCGCGCAGACCGGGCAATGCACCACTGCCGCCTGGCATTGTTTGGCGCGGTCGCCAAGGGTACTGCAGCTATAACAATTATCGTTGAAGTCGACGGCATTCCCGCATCGCCCGCGCACATGTCCCTGCTCCAGGCATCTGAAGCGCGGACAGACAGCACCGTCACCCTGGCTCGGGTCCAGCCGACCTGGACCCGCCCCGCCTTGGTAGCCTTGCAGACCGCCGCGAGCGGGCACTGCACCACAGTCATGGCCGTCCCCTGCTGGGTGAGGTTTGAGTCCACCTACGGAGACTTCCGCAGGCGGGCACCCCCCAACGAGGGCCACAGCGCCCGCCACCTCATCGGCCCCGACCGTCGCATCCAACCCGATGATTCGCAACGTTGCGATCTTCACCGGTCTCCGGATGCGATAGTCGGGGCCCTTTTCCGCCGCCAGCTTGCGGAGCTCCTCCGCAAGCCGGTCGGCGGAAGCCCCGGCGTTGAGGCCAGGCACCTCAATAACTAAGGTCCCGGTTCGGGCCGTACGGATTTTTAGGGCCCCCGGTATGCCCACGTCTGCTGGCTTGATCTGGCGCCTGGCCTCAACCATAAACTCTTTGTAAGAGTCATTCGGGCACGTAACAGTGACGGCCGCTGATCTAGGCGGCTTCGGCACACCGTCACAGCTCCCCCTCTCTTCGGATCGGGAGCAGGTTTAGGAGGGATTATTCCCGCCTTTTTTCTTCTCTTCCCTCCTCTCCTTCCTCTTCTCCTTCCTTCCAGCCACCTTACTCTACGCCGTAGGACCAGGAACCCCGGGTACCTGGGAGGTGGTCGTCTGAGTCTCCTTGGGGGGATCAGGATTCTTCTTTTTCCCCCATACGGTCTTCCCGTTGCGAGGTCCTGCCTCCTTCTCCTTCCGGTCCTGTTCCTGACTTCTCCCTTCCCCTACTTTGGTCAGGGCCCTGTTGGTAGTTTGGGAGGGGACCACCATGGTCCTCTCCCGGTTCGATGTTTGGACCACCTGTCTCTGGGACCCCTCTCTTAGCAGCTGATTCTCCTGTTTCTGTCTCTCCTGCCTGTTCCTTTCCGCCCGCCTCAGCCTCTTCTCCCTCCTCTTTTCCGTATCAATTCTCTTTCTTTTATGTACTTGCATCTCGCTCACCTCCGTACCCCCATTCCCGGCCGGTTTGGCTATCGCCTCTCCGGCCAGGGGAACCTGAGCGGTGGTGGTGGGAGCAAGTACACGCGCTAACTCCTCCACATCCGGGATCTAGGACCCCTTATCCATCCTTACCCTCTCCCTGCACTGCAGGAAGTACTCAACTCCCCTCGAGAAAGCTTTGTATGCCTCCTTACCTTCTGGCTTCAAGTTTGTGTGCCTCCAGCTCTTTTTGGACCCCCTAATTAGGGGTCTAAGGGCGGGAGGGAGGGCATTCCCCGGCATGTTGTCATTATATACCGGGATCTTGTCAGAAAAACCCCTCATCCCTGTCTCCTCTAGTGAACTCGAGGAATTATCCACTATGGCCCTCTTCTGCACCTTCATTTTCTTCGTCCCAGGCCCAAGCCAGATGGGCCAGGGCGTGTCACTTCCGCTGTCGAGGACCTGCTTCCCCCAGCTGCCTCGGCATATATTGTCCTGATCTGCGGCGTTGGTGACGGACCAGCTGCAATCTGCATGGCCATCACTTGCTCCTCCAAACTCCGGTTCTTGACTCTAAGGATTCTGAGTTCCTCCCTGAGTTCCTCTGTCTCCTTGCTTGCCGCGGAGACAATCTCCTCCTCTCCGTCTTGCGCTGCAACTCTCGCAATGAGGGTTGTCATGGCGACCTCAGAGGTGGCCACGGCGCGATTCATCAGTGACACGAAGGTCCCCTTCAGGGTTTTTGACCTCCGTACTACCAACCTAATCGCGCCAAGAGCACGGCCCACCTCCGTGGCCAGCTCCGCAGTTTTGGCCTCCCTCAAAAGCGCCATCGAGGCTGCGTCTTTAAAGACTTCCTCGGCAGGGCACTCATCCTTCAGAGACCGAAGGATGTCCCTACCGAGGAGGTCCGCGATCTCCGTCTCGAGGCGGATTTCCGCCTTCTCCTTCTTGACATCTGCCGCCTCCTTTATTTGCCGTATGCCAATGTACCGGCCACGTGTAGGTTTCCTGTCCCGTGGGTCCCTATCCGGGACCAACACAGGGGCTTCGGTTGTGCTACAACCGACGCGGTTGAGCCCCCACTCGTCGTCTCTACCTTCCTCTTTGTGGCCTGGATGGTAATGGCCCCTTTGCTGCTAGTGGCCTCCTTGCTGGTTGAGGCTCTAGCGACGAACCTCCCGTAACTGTCTCTAACCATCGGGATTCTCGAATTTTGAGAAAGGATGACGTTCGAATGGATCACCGTTTTATTGGTGGTCCCCTTTCCCTTTTTATTCACGTCCGCGCTCGCGTGACCCCCGTCAGACTGGGTACCCCTCTTACTATTGTGGGGGCCCGGTCTGCTATACTCATGCGTCGGGATTAAGGTCACAACCCCAGTCCCCTTGGCCATCTCCTCCTTTCCCTCGTTGAACTCTAGCTCCACCTCACCCGACGAGTTGGCCTCGCTCCCTCCCCGGTAGGAGGTGCGCTTCGCGTCCTCTAGCGGGGGTTCACCTCCCCCGTTGGGTGGCCGCTCCTTCTTGACCCGGGAGCTCACCAAATAAGTCCCCCGGTAGGGTCCGTCCTTCCGGC